AACAAAAATATTTTGTGGGGGTTTGGAGGGGTACTTTTTTTTTTTTTCTATGGAGTGAGTTTTACTGACAGTGTTTAAGAAAGAAATATCATATGTAAATGAATACTGGACTATAAAGAATAGGAACTCATCATTGTAAAGCAGTCTTATGTTATATTTCAATATCCCATTTTGAGATATCCCTTACTATTTTGTAATGAGAGAAGTTGTATATTGATCTGGTTTTTAGAACAAGAATTCAGAGGGTGGGAAATTTTGGAAATGAAGAATTACATTTTCCAGCAAGATATAGTTTTCAAAATCCTTTTGTATCACATATAAAGAATTAATTTATGCTGAGACAATAAGGTAAAAGTCTCCTCCATGTCTGTCAAAATTAAGAGAAAACACTGTGAAAGCTGTAAAGAAAAGTAACAGCATTTTGTTGGAGCTGTTTTAAATCCATTATCCACCTTCCCTGTGGCACATACATCACTAGTACATAGACATCCTACCTTGAATAGTGATATATTCACTATGGGAACCCATTATTAAACATAGGTTGCACATCACTGCCTGAGAGAGCTCTCCTCACGCTTATTAACAATGCAAAATATGGAGACATTATAATATGGTGAATTTTTTTTTATTTCAGTAGTAGCATACCACTTTTTCTGAAAAAAAACATGTCAGGAAATAAGCTAGAAATTTATAATCCTCACACAATTTTTACCCAGGGGCAGAAAAATGACAATATCAACCTTTAGAATCATAAAAGGTTAAAAATGCTAGTAAAAAGGCAATGGCCTGAAATGGCCCCATACTCCATGTTTTTCAGGTAAATAATAAATGAAGCATTTTACAAACCAATTGCCCTGAGTCTTGCTGCAATGGAGTTCATTTTCTTCATAACAGCTAATACAGTGCTGTGTTGGGATTTGTGATTTGGGATTGTGAGTGTTGTTAACACACCAGCATTTTGGCTATTTCTGAACAAGAACTTCTCTGCTCCTCACATCTTCAAAGAGGCTGGGGATGAGAAGCTGGAAGGGGACATAGCTGGGACAGCTGACCCAAACTGATGTTATAATGCTCAGCAACAAAAGGGAGAGGACTGGGATTTAGATCGGTTCGCCACCTTTTGTTCGGGAGCTGGCTGGGCAACAGTGTACACACAGGAATTGGCGGGACATTGCATTACATTGTATCACAAATCTCCTTTACTTATTAAACAATCTCTTGCCCGATGAGGTTTATTGCTTTTACTCTTCCTTTCCTCTTCCCTCATACCACTGGTGGTGGAGAGTGAGCAAGTGGGTCTGTGATTCTTAGCTGCTTATCAGGATTAACTCACAACAATGGTATTGTTTTGTAAAGGAGAAGAGTCCCTTTAAAAAGTTTTTTGCAACATGAGTCAATCTGGTTTGGTGCCAGGATGATTTTACTTCTGAAAGAGTTCATACCAAAAAGTGCCCGTGTGCCATGTCCCAGATGACGAGACCTGGCTGACTGCCCATTCACATCTGTTCCGAATATGCACCCTCAGAAAGTAATGAAAATCCTATAACCACTGCCTCAATATTCAATTTTTTTATTTTTTTTTCACAGCAAACAACAAGCTTTTTCATGAAATGAGCAATGATTTTAGATCAGATGTGAGGCTTGTAGAAAGGGAAAAAGGATAACAATCGACAGATGACCTCATATGAGGATTTGTAAACTTCAATATAGTAGATCAAGGCAGAGGGAACACGTAAAAGGAAAAGAAAACATAAACAAGTATTAAGTCAGTTCAAACTCTGGCTTTCACCTCCAGTTGGATGTTTAGTTTCAGAGGGACTAAAAAGCATAAACAGACCTGCCCAGACAGAATGACTTCTTAGTTATGAACTAAAACTTAGTTTTTCTGGGAGAAAAAAAGATAGAAAGTAATCATAACCCCCCTCTAGAATACCAGACTTTCTTGTGAGGACCAAGTAGAAAACCAAGAATGGAATCACCCAAGTTAGACCTGTTCAGAATTAATTTTTTTCTACACACTGAGTATCTACATCTCCTGTATCTTCAATTTATACTCTTTCTAAAAGGACTGACTTTTGCAAGTGATGAGTACTTTGAATTTCAATTTAAATCTGTTGCTTAATCATGCATTTAGCTGCTAATTTTAGACGTGTGGTTAGAAAATATCAGCCTTGGACCATATGATAAATAGCGTCAGGATTTTGCAGTTCTGCTTTGTTCAATGGAAACACCAGAATGCTTTTCAGTTTTTAGGCCTCTAACTTTTAAAATGCACTCTTTTCTGCCCTGAGGTATACTGAAGACAAGGGTATTATCTGCAGTGCATTCCTCACCTTCTCAATTTTTCCTCTCCCATTCTTCACTCCATTTGGAGACACACTCTGCTCCCAGCGCCTACCCTCGTTCTCTGTAAAACTTAGGTGTGATCATTCCTGATCCTGCTCTGCTATAGAACAGCAATAGCTACTAATATTTTAATTACAGAATTGAGGACCATCACAAACCTTTCATCCACATGCAAGGTCTGCTTTTTATAAGCATGTTATAAACATGTATAAACTTTTCTAGAAAAGTAATAACTGCATTTTAGAGCAAACAAAACAGAAGTTCTAACAAAATAAACAAGCCTAGAGACAAGAATGAGAGAAATAACTGTGCCAGTCACCTCTCAAGTGCTGTAGGAACTTCTCCAAGTCTTAGTTAATGAGAGTGATATAAGATCCTACAGTTTTTCACCTTCATATCTTTGTTAGGAAACTGGAACAGTTGCTCTGAGATGTTGATGTTACAAGAGTTACCCAGACATTTTATTATACCCAACCTAGTTGATTAACAGGGATATCCCACACAAAATCAGACATACAAAGATGCAAAGCTTTACCAGAAGATCTAGACACTTCTACTGATCAAAACCCCCAAAACTTTCACAGACCTGAAGACAAGAGCAAAGCATTTAATTGCATTTAAGATCAGATCTGTACTTCAGCAAAAATTCAGTGGTACAGCCTTTTAATAGCACAGCAGAAAATTATGTCTATTTAAAAAAAAAAAAACAACAGCAACAAAGCACCACATGATGTCCCAAGACAACCAAAGCTGTGATAAGCTCATCACTTGATCTTTACAATCATATAACGCATTATTGAGCAGTTGTTCTCCATATTTTCATGTAAGTATTTATATAGAGATACAAGTATATAGATGATGTGATAAAGTACTCACTTATGAATAGTGTTTATTCTAGTTTACTTTTTCTAAATCCAGGATTAAGCAAGGTACTTCAGTGGTATTTTGCTTTCTAACCTATAAAAGAAACTGTTCTTCTGAGAATTGCCTTTGTTCCAATGCTCATTTATGAATTTGCTTTATGAGGAATTATTGGACAACAGTCTCTAAGTCATCTTCTATAGGGTCTAGCTCCCCCAAAACAGCTAAGAAAATACTTGGATTTTCTATCATGTGTCTTTAACAAAAAGTGAGTGAAGAATGAGATACACTTGTTTTGGTACCTCAGGTGTTTGCATCTGACAAGACATATTTGCATTCTGACTGATAACTTTCATTCTTTCTAGATTTCAAATCTATTTTTCTATAATAACCAATATCACACTTATTACTTTAAAGTACCTATTTTTCTATTTGGGATTTCTGGAATATTTTCTAAGTAAAGCCCCATCTCAAAGTCCCAGCAGTTGCACACTGTAGGAAAAACAGGCAGAGTCATAAAACAAGGTGTGCATTGTGGACTGTACTGATGCATTACCTATGACCATGGCTCATCTGGCTGCTAGGTTAACAGGTCACTGGCACGAAGCCACCAACCGTCAGAGAACAGCCTCTCCCATGGTATTTTGATATTTCTCCTTCTGGATTTGTCCCAACAGGGAAGTGCTGGAGTGTATGAAAACTGGGAGTGGAGCTGGGAAGCTAACCAAATGATTTCCAACCTCAAATGTTTAGGTTAGACACTTTTGTGGTCTTAACCAGCCCACTCATCCCTAAATATTACAGCATCAGGAATGATGATTTAAAATTGCAGGAACGATACAACAGTGCCAGCCACTGTTGAGCGCATTCCATGCTTCTCGCAATCACTTCTGCACCAATGAGCACACTATGTGAATATTTTGGTCATAATTATAGTAATAACATTTCACTTTTGCCTAGTTCTTTTTAAGCTTATCATTGTAGACTACCTGGACATGCGGTCTATTTGCTGCTCTTATTCATGTCCTGTTTAGCTCGTTCTTCCTCAGCTACTGCAGGAACAAGCTAAATAGGATCTGCTAAATAGACAGATGCCAACCCTGGAAAAAAAACCCAACCCTATATTCCAGCAAAAGAACACGGCACTATCCCATGCACAAGTACGGCTCAGGTCTCACTCCAAACAAAAGTAAACTAATGGTTTTGTGCCAGATCCTGGGTTTGGATGTACAAGATCCATCAGTATAAAAAGACAGTATTCATTCCTGAACAGGAAGGGGAAATCTTGCAGCATTTGTAAAGCACATTTACTGCAGAGCTTTTACTGCTAAAATATATATACTTTACTTTAGGGTGGTTTTCAATCATGATGCTGAACAAAACAGTACCAAAAAACCCCACAGTCTGTTAGCTCAAACAGCAAGCTGATTTTTAATATCTATCTCATTGAAGCTGATGAGACTGTTGCTTCATTAATATCAGCAACACTCAACTGTCACCCCTGTCAGAGTGAACCCATAGCCACTGGTACCACAAAAGATCACTGGCCTCCATCCTTCCCACCTGTTCAGATTGCCAGGACAGCTCAGGAACGCAATTTTTCTGTCATATTACTTACAGGTCACAGAATAGCATCTTCATTCACCAGTTTATTGTACTTTTTCGTACTGGGCACAGCTGCCCAGGCACTGGCAGCAGGAGGCTATATGGCCAGCCTCTGTGAGGAGAGGCCAGGCTGTCCTGTGCCAGTTCCAGCCGGCTCCAGCCGGCTCCAGCGGACCCACGGCAGGGCACAGCGGAGCCCCTCAGACAAGATGGTGGCCTCTGGAACAGGTATTCAACAAGGGCAAAACACTGCCTGGGAGCAATGAATAAGGGGGAAAAATGTAAGAAACAGCCCTGCACACACCAGAGGAGGAGGAAGAGGAGGTGCGCCCGGCACCCAAGCAGAGACTCCTTCAGCCAGGGAGAGACAGTCAGAGATCACCCCTCCATTTCCTGCGGCCTCCACACGGTTCTTTGAAATGGTTAGTGGATATTTTATACATCACGCCATGCCTGTGTGCATCTAATTGCACAGTTAGAAAACAAGAGCACAGTGTTAGCTGTGGGTGAAAGCTCTGGGGTAGGGAAAGTGACCCCATGGATGGACACAGGCACCAGAGCACAGCTACATGGCTGCTACTGTAAGCATGCCTGCATAGCCCAGCCATATGCCCTGGGGCCCAAAAGGTTTAAAAGTATAATTCCTTTCATTGTATTTTACCATGGATGTTTTAAACTGCATTAAGAGGCATATACAAATGTTTGGAATCATTACACTATCAGACTTTCGATTTGCTGGGTCACTGAGGGAAACCTGACAGCATTCAATAATGTCTCGATATTTAAGTGCATAATGGTAATGTAGAAGAAATAAATGTTTGTTTTATCAATACAATATAAAGTATGACTGTGAATCATGCAAATCAAATAATAAATCACAAAGCTCAAGCTAGTCTCATCAGCCCAGCAGCTGAACAAGCTTTCAGCCTAGGAACATGCATCATTTAAATTTTTATCTAACACTGGGAAAAACAGAAAAAGAGACTGTGTTCAGCTAATATGACACTTTCTGTCAGAGGCAATGACAGAAACATCAAATCAATCTAATAAATCAAATAAATCTAACCAAATAAATGCTTAGTGGGAATGAGACTGACATCCACCAAAGACACACATAGCTCCCATGCAATGGAAGGGCTACTGACTTACAAACATTTAACAGTGCTAAAAAACCTTCCTCCTACAAACTGCTCTGTTTCCACTAAAATTAAAGAGCACTTTGGTGAGACAGCCTCTCGTAGCACTGCAACTGCTCCTAGAATTTAAAGGACAGCTGCTGAAGTGGCTTTGTTTACAAGTGTAGATTGAACGCAGCAACTATTTAACCAAGGAAATCGTGGTGATGAGGTAGTTGCTTCCAAGTAAATGCTTCCAAGATCTTTTTTGAAACCTGTTTTTGAAACGTCTGTATTTACATTGTTCACTCTTGCAACAGGATTCTTTTTAACATACACAGCAAAATTTTCATGTCAGATGAAATCTTAAAACTGAAGAAAATATTTTATTGATTTACTTTCCCCAAGAAGATTTGAAATACAGTCTTATTCAAATATTCAAACCAGAAATTATTCACAAAAATTCATTTTACCATGTATAACCGAAAACTCTCTTCTCCACCCCCCTCCCCAAATATGCCCATTACCTATACAGCTGTAGACACAAGGCTTAAGAACTGCAAATTGGGTAATTCATGGGGACTAGAGAGAAGCAAAAATATGAAACCTGCTAGCCATGGCTTAAAAGCATTGTGGCTTCAAGATAACGGTTTTGATACAGCTATATGGGTGATTTGCCTTTGTGGAAGTTTTTGAGAGTATAGAAATACAAATGCTAGGTTGCGGAATATTAAACCTTAGTAGATAATAACAAAAACCTTCAAATATTTATCACATATATTTGATCTGTGAACCACATGGTCCTGCTATTATTTCCTATTAATTTTATATTCTACTTCCTGAATACTACTTCTTGAACCCTTTACAGAAAAATTAATAGTGCTAGATATTCTTATGTCAGTAGTAGTTCAAGTATCTTGTAAAGGAAACAAATCACAGGATAATCAGCCATGAAAATATACTTTAAATGTTATCTCTCTGTAGTATCCCTTGATGACTCAAAATAATCAAATAATCTCTTCTCTGTTTATTTTAATGGAATTTGGTGTGCCTTCCACAATCAGAAGTGAGCAAACATGTTCCTTCCTGCATTGTTTATTCTGCATTAAATATCTTATTCATGCAGCATATAACATCTGAAAGGGCATCCTGCTCTACAGTATTAGCTTCCTCATTGCAGAAAATCAGCAGTCTCTACGATGAAATTTTATACTGTGTTTCATTGAGCACATACAAAATTTCTTAATTCCCATTTTTATATGTTTTCTGCCTAAAATACGTACAAGTAAAACTGAGGGACTGCTGAGGAAGGAGGTCTTCCCAGCTCTAAAATAAGATTTTGCTTACAGCAAATATCTATAGTGCAACTATCCACTTATCTGTGTGTCATTTGATCCAACAGGAAATAATGTGTGAGTATACAAAACAGAACTGTATATCAGCAATACTACATAATTTTTAGATGGCAGTCAAGACTAGAGCCTATATACTCTGCAGGGAAGTAAACACTCTTTGCTAGAGGAATTATACTCCTTTTACTGTGTTATGAAAAACAGTGTTTTAGTACAGAATCTCTGTACATCTGAAGTATCCATTATTAAGGCTAAAATGTATTCATGACAGATGTCATTTTTCTCTTAGGAAACAATGGGATAAAGGAGACAACAGTAAACTCTACTGTGTTTCAGAGGGATGGCTCCTTCTTAAAGCAGAAGTGTGAGCAGTGGAATAGAGCTAATACTCTATACCTTTAAAAGCTTGGCTAAGAAACCCAAAAAACTTCACAGATGCCAGATTATGCCTCTGCTAAACCACAAGGACTTCCCAGTAGAAAGTATACGCCTGAGAAAAAAAAACATTTAAAGCTTTATGGAAGGTAAGCTACTGTGAGAGTTTCACAATTCTTTGGGGACTCTGCTTTGAAAATAAAACTCATAATGTCAATACAGAAAAGCCCTATTGCTTTTAAAACTTATTTGAAAACACTGTAAGTGAAAGAGCTCTTTGTTTTGCTTTCATATGTAACACAGGGATTTTTCAAGTATCTGTTTATGACTTTTACAGTCAACACTGTCTGAGCATGGCTGAAGAGAAGTAAACACAAAGTAATCAATGCACAATATTCCTTGCTTTATTCCCTACTTTTATTTTTACTTTTCTATCTCTTTGGGAAAACTGGTCATATTTCACAGTCTAGATGGATAAGATCTATAGTGATTTGTGCTATATAGAAAGCTAAGCATCCTCTGAGAATACAGTTTCTTGATGGCTAGTCCAGAAACAGTTTTATGCTTCCATATCATAAAAGAAAACTATTTGAAATTTCTGATTTAGTACCAGAAAAGCACAATCCACTTTAAAATATACAAAGTGAACTGTTACAGCCACATTCTTTTACTATGGCCACATTCTCAGTAGTCACTAGTATTACATAAGAGTTATAACTTCAAATTTACTAGACATAGGTTTTTCTGTCTCAGAGATCCTGTCTACTACGGTCTTCTGGATGTAAAGCTTACCCTTGTTACAGCATGGTTAACTGAAGTAAAAAAATGAACAGAAGCAAAACAAAACAGAAAAAGAGTTTTTAGAACAGCATTTTGCAACTAGATTTTTGATGTTTGTGTGTCAGACTACAGAACTTAAATTTTTAACCTAACCCTGTTTAGTATGAAATGCCATTGGTGTTTTTTCCCACTTAGTTTTTGCAAGCAAAGATCCATATTCTGTCTAGTTGGGCATCACAAATGGGGTATTATCATGTCATCCCATATAGAGATTTTTATTTCAGGCTGCCACTTTTCCACAGTCCTAGTAGTCCCCAAGTACTTTTCTGAACCTGTCAAAACATGGAAGAAGTAGGTACACAACTGCAAGAAGTGTCTGTGTCCTCACTCAAATGAAAAAGTGTGCTATAAGATTTTGATATAGTGTTGATTTATCTTCCATAAGACTTTGTTTCCCTTCAGAAGATGAAGGATAACCTCCTCCTTGCTTGCAGATGCTCATCTTTCATGACATTTATCAGAGCATAGATTTTGCCTTCCCAGCAGCAGGAGAGCCAGTCCTTTTTCTGAAAACCTCTGCCAAAGGCTTAACGTATGTTGAGCACTGCCAGCTTTTGAGATCTCTTCTGGAATGCAATCCAAGTTTGATTAGATCTAGAGACAGCTTTGCAACAGCCTCTTGCAAAATCCATCCCCACAACTGCATGCCATGCTTACTCACACCTAAGAGAGAGCAAAAAGCCAAGGCCACCAGAGGAGTCATAACAGCTCCCCCACTTTCACATCTGAGCACCCCATGCTTCTTCAGTAAATGAGGCACAGAAAGACAGGAGCAGTTATGGGCAGATAGCCTCCCTCCTTTGCCTCTCTTTTTCTTTTAGGAATTAAATAGGTCTTGAGTTCTTCGTTTAACATCCAGCCTGCCTCCAAAATAGGAGCTTCTGGGCAGGTTTATCCCAGCCTAGAATAAGATACAGGATCCCGAAGGGCCGTTTCATTCCTCTAAACCCTTGTAGAGCATATTCCAAAAATACAAGAAATTGGACTGAGGTGTGTCTGAGAGCTCACACAACAGGTCAGGGCTGGCTAACTGGAAGGTTGCCAGGGAAAACGTAAATTTAGGATAATTACACTGACTGGAACAACTAGGAAACAATCCTAAAACAAACATAGGGCACAGTTTACCAGAGACGTAAAAAACAGACAATGAGGAGGGGGACACTTGCTTCAAGAATTGTGTCTGTTCTTGACTTTATCAGCCCAGAATATGGTCCCCCCTTGGAGAACTGAGTCCCTTCCAGCAGCCGCTGACGTCCTGCAAGATGTCGCAGGCTGAGAGGGGGCACACCTGGAAAACTAAGGCTTTTCATTTTTAGGATGTCTGAAGAAACACAGCAACCCCAGTAGGCAAGAGGGCAACCCTGGCAGTAAAATACAGCTCTGAGCTCAGACACATAACATTTGAGAGACAGAAGTCACTGAAAAGACAATAAAGTATAATCTTTCTTTTAAAAAATTTGGGCCCACATCAGAGCTTCTAGGAACTGATTTACAGTTTTGAGTCTTCAGATTGCTGAAGCATACACTGTTGAGTGATTCATTGTTGCACTATTCACTGCAAGTCAAGGGAAGCTGTTGCATAAATGCTTGCATAACTTACTCTAGATGACAGCTGAAGTCCCAAAATATCTATTGTGGGAGGCAGATAACACAACCATAAAATATTCCAAAGAAACTATGGAAGAAGTGTAGACCTAGAACTCTGCAAATACATATAGTTCTAAATATACGAAATATTTTCAACTATATGTTTTACTTTTCCATTTAAGTTTTTCTTTGCTTTAAAAATGTTCTTAGTTCTAGAAACTAAAAATACCCTCATTTTCTTTATAGTAGTATTTAACTTAATATGAAAATGTGAGACTTAACAAACACAGTGATCCATTTGGAGTCCTATTAGCAAATAGCTGACTTATTTGCAACATAACTTGTTAATACCAAGCAACTAAGTGTGACTTAATAGGTGCTAAAAATAGGTGTGACAAATAAAATTAAGTTACCAAATAAACATTGAGAGAAACCTTAAACATTAAATACAGGAAATATGGGTTTGTTTCTGCATCTCATCTGGGAGGGAAGGAGTTGGGTTTATTCTGTTCTCAATCTCCGCAGACATTTCTTTTGCTACAGTGTCCTGGTACACACGGTTATATACCCCCATAAAGGTGCTAAATTATCTGTTTGAAATTGCTTTACACTTCACCTTCCCCTTTTCCTGTCACTTTCCTATTGCTTACACAGAATCTTCCTACAGAACCTGCTTATGGTGCTTTCTTGCTTTTGTTTCACACAAAGACAATCTGCAGGTTCTTTTGGGCTGGTGAAGGGAGGTGAGCTAGCATACACACCGGCATCAGCCTCAAAATAGTCAAAATGCAGATTTCAAACTGCCATTCTGACAGGAGACAAAACAGCACTTTATGACTTCTCTGATGGCAAAACGAACTCAAGGTCTATGTAGTTTGCTGTACTTCCAGTTTTGCTGATTCAGCCATCTGCAAAGTAGACTCTAACCATATCAATGAGCCCAGTAAAAAGCAAGACTAGGAAAAGTCTGTTCTGTGTAGTTCAGAGTACGTGAAGCATTCAGAAAAACACTTGGATGCAAAGTGAGGCCTTCAACTGGAAAATCCAGTCCTTAGTGTATTATACATTATATCTCTCTTATTATCATAATATCTCAATTATATCTCTAGTCCTCAGATTCATTGATCAGCCAAGGACAACATGTCAATTGTGTCAGACATGTCATTTCATTAAAGAAATTCAGGCAGACAGCAAAGAAAATAGAAACTTATTAAAGCAATATCCACACAGAATGAAATGGTACAAGATATACAAGGCCACCTGGCATATGAATAAACAAGATAAATTTTGACATTATTTGAATTATGGTAAGCTATACTGTCAGACACAGAAAAGGTAGCTGTTTAATATTAGTAGAGGAAAATCAATAGAAAAAACAGATCTGCTAGTGAAGATGTAGAAGATGAGTGGAACAGCCTACCCAAGGGCTCTACATCTGATAGCTTTACAATAAATTAAATAAATTTATCTTCATGACACCTTTATAAAGAAACATTCTTATTTCACAGATGAGTGACCAAGTCACAAAGGAAACATGTGGCTGAGTCAACTACCAAAATCATATTTCACAGTCCTTCAAAGCTAAATTTAAAAATACATTTTGAATGTATTTCAAAAAGTAGATAATAAGAAAGGTAGGGTTGGGGGGAGGAGGAAAGAGAAAGAATATAAAGTGTCAGTGACCAGAGACATGACTTTCACTGACCTTCCATCTTATTTCAGACTTAACTCATTGACATTTTTAACAATAGTTATAGTGTCTTTATCTACTCTAAAGAGGAATTTTAGTGCATATCTGTAGCAAGTGTCCAGAAGTAGTCCATTTTATTGAGAAAGCAGTCTATGCAAATTGATTCATTTCTGTTAAAATCAGTCCTAACTTCTCTCTGTTCTCTTCAAATTACCCTAAAAGCCAGAAATATACTTGTACAATAGACCAGTTCCATAACAGCTCCTTTAAACTTTTGAGCAGGAGTATGTCTATATAAGTAGTGCAGCGTAACAGAAACAGATCTGTAATGTGAGATAGCTGGTGCTGAGTACTCAACACTATATATATTTCAGGGATTTTACATCAGATAAAACAACTAAGCAATTATTAATAGCTGGAACATGTTACATTCATTTCTGAAACATACCTTCTAGTTTAGCTGCATTCAAAAGCAATCCAGCTGGTTGATTTCAGATCACTCCACAGTGCAACCCATAACATAGTAAAGGGCCAGTCTTCTTGTTTGCCTGAAAAGTACATTTATGCTACAAAAGCCCTAATGTAGACCTCCTTTCTGTCTCACAAGTTCATCACTGTGTCGTACACAAAACCATGAGTTCCTGATCTCCTTGTACAATTTGATGACTGGCTGAACAACACAAGCACACGGCTGAGAGCTGGGAACTTGGGAGTTCTGATCTCTGAGGTGTCATTGATTTTCGCTGCCCATGATTCAGATCAGGAGGACATGTTCAACTACAGCATACATGATTATGCAGATTGGCTTGAATACACCATCAGACTTGGGCTTTGCTTGGTGTGCAAATTATGCCTTAGGAAAGAGACTTGCCTTTAAAAAAAGAACAAAACAAAAAAAAACAAGACAAAAAAACGCAAACAAAACACCCAAATAACAAAACTTGCCTAGAATGAGGATGCTGGAGGAACAAAAATCACAGTCTCATGACAGACACCTCTGTGGCCTTCCTCAGCTATGAAACATATTCACTG